TAGCCTTAGGATATACTGCAGTTCCTCAGATTCTACAGATGATATTCCTACACAGAAACAACCTTTATTTCTGAACACTATAGAAACAACCATAGGCCCTTTAAAAAAAATCCACATCCCACCCAAGAGGGTAGGGTCAGGGGTGGGTTCTACTTACCTTTACTACCGGTTCGCATTGCGCCTATGTGCGCTGTTCTGCGCATGTGCAGATCACCTATGATGACGTCCGGGTCAGTGGGCGGAGCCTCCCACCAGTTTTACTACCAGTTCTTGAGAACCGGTCCGAACCGGGGTCAACCCACCACTGGGTAGGGTCCCTGGAAAACCATCATCTGCCCAGCCTCTTAAAGACTCCGTTGCCTACAGAAACACTGCTGTTTTGTTTTTATTGAGAGAATATTTCAGGCAATAACTCCTCCATGTTTTGAAGCAAAATTCTCTGTGCTCTGTGAATTTTAATTCATTCAGTGAATGGACTAAATTAAGCTCTAATTAAGCCAAGAATTAAGCTTTAATTAAGCCAAGAATTAAATCACTCTAATTAAGACAAGAAATCCCATAGTTGGGCTCCTACAATATTGAATCAAAACTAGGGAAAACCTGGCTTTTCCCTTGAGCATTGGGAAGCTAAGCCTGTTTTGTGACTATTTAGGGAGAATGATTTTGTTTCTTTGATGTGTTACATTCTTATTATTGCTTTATTTTTGTGGTGGAAATTTTTTTCTTTAATTTTTTTTTAAATTGCATATAAAAATTCCATTTCTAAATGAACAGTATGTTGTCTGGGTACAAATAATTTTAGGAAATAATAACCATAATGTTTACAATAATATTCATTACATTGCTATTAATCATATAATAGTAATAATATTTGCATATCCATTTTAACAATTCTTCCTTATTGCATTAGTCCTTCTCTTATATTTCCATATTTCTAAGTTCTGTTTTTATTGGCTAACCATTGATAACATGAATCCCATGTTAAAAAACATTCAGTTTCTTCCTTTTCCTTAACTTTCAGTGTTAGTCTATTCATTTCTGCGCATTCTATTTTTTATTTATTTATTTATTTATTTACATTTTCATCTGTAGGGATCTTTTCAGTTTTTCATTGTTGTACAAATACAATTCTAGCTGCAGTTAACACTTGTAATATCAGATATATATTCCCCTTATTATACTTTTCCGGTAAGATGCCCAACAAAAATATTTCTGGTTTTAAGTCTATATGTTGTTTTATTTTATTTTTTTTATTTTAGCCCAGTTGTAAGCTGCTCATGGCTGCAGTTTGAGAAAGTCCCAAATTAAGAAAATGACACAGTCCCAAGCTGGATAAGCAGGAAAGGGGAAGAGGTTTAGGGTAGCCACACTTAAATCTCGCATGTTATATTTTGAAAGTAAGAAAGCTATAGCTTTAGATTGGCAAGATTCTGTCCATTGTGTATAAAGCAGATAAAGAATTGGACTTGATTAGACTTCTCTGTGTCATCTCTGGGCCAGTGGTGGGTTGCCCCCAGTTCGGACTGGTTCACAAGAACCGGTAGTAAAACTGGCAGGAAGCTCCGCCCACTGACCCGGATGTCATCATAGGTGATCTGTGCATGCGCAGACGCTTCTGCGCATGCACAGAAGAACATGCGCAAGGTCACAATGTGAACCAGTAGTAAAAGTAAGTAGAACCCACCCCTGCTCTGGGCCTTGGGCCTGACAGGCCGTCAGGACCTCGCCTAATGGGATGTTTATGTGCCTCATGGTATTAGCAGTAGAGCGATATTGTTGTTCCCATATAATGCAGAAGGATTCTTCTGCATTATAAATCCTGTACAGTGGGGTGGGGAGGGAGGATTTCCACAGTAAATTTCAGCCGGGCCTCAAACTTACTTCTAATAAATGCATTGGGGGATATTGGGGGGGGGACTGGCCATGCCACTAGTGGCGTTTGCTTTGAGAACTAGCACATTAAGGGTACATGTTATTTCCACTCCCACTCCTTCCAAAACCATGTGAAGCAGACTTGCCAATCACAGAATGTTGATCACACAATGCACCAGCTACTTGTCTCCCTCCTGTTAACAAGTAGGGCCTGCAAATAAGCCAGCCATTCAGCGCTTTGCCCAAACAAATGTACTCCCAGATCAACAACAAAATCCCCTCATCTATCCTTCAGAAAGTAAATTAAATAAAATGCAAAGCCATATCCTTGTCATCTCATCCCTTATTTTCAGTACATGCTGGGTTTATTTGGCAGTTTGCAAAACAGCTGCAATTTCACAGGGAGGAAGATGCCAGGCTCTAAGCCGTCCGTTTGTCCTGTATTAAAAATGAGGGATGTCACAACACGATATTGTATCATCAATTTTGTAATCAAGCAATGCTATAACAGTAGCTGAAGTGGGAAAGAAGAGGAGTTGAGTTCTAAGAAGATGCATACTTTTTCAGCTGCCGGGGCACACCCACTTTGCTGAAATAATAAAAATTCTCCCTCCACACTTCCCAGAAAAGGAGTGTTTGAAAAGGAAATGAAAAACCACAAATCCTCTTGCAAACAAAAAAGGCTTTCTTACCTATTTCATTCCTGCTACTCTATGGCCGTGCTGAGCCAGCTGATTCTCAGGAGCAGGGGTGAGCCAGAGTTCCCTCTAATAGGGAAACAGGCTGCCCGCAATCTCTGCTGAGGTTCACCTTACCCCCCCCAAAAAAGAGTTCATTTTTGTAGCTGACTGGCTAGAAACAAATGAGCTTAGTGGCTGAACTCAGTCAATGTTGCCAGAGCACAAAGGTCTCAGCTTTTGCTGGCGCAGAATAGTTCATGTTCAAACTCCCTATAAAAAGGCGGTTCTTAAATTAATGCTTCTTGAGAAGAAATATACGGTACAGAATTATGGGTGGAAATGTATGCTTATGAAACATTAAGACACTGTGTTGTGGTCAGCAGCCCTTTAAAGAATGCTGGGGAAAGGTATTTTATAGAATGGCTAATTGTTAGTTTATTGCTTATTGCGGTTAATGGCCAGTCAGTATAATAGGAAAATATAAGACACTTGGTCATAAACTAAGAAAAATAGAAAAGATAATCAAATAGAAAATGTGAGAGATGCATTTAAAATGCCTCATCTGGCTGAGACCAAATAAAATTGTGTGTTAGTTGTCATAAAACAGAGTAAAGAAAAAGGTTGACAACTGAGGACACATTTAGATATACTTGCATAATAAAAAAAGAATACGTTTATTTTTGATACGGAGGGAACAGAATTGGAATGGGTTGTAATGGGTTTCGTAAGCAAAACCATATATCAGATATGAGCTGAGATCAAATTTTCATAGCTTCAGGGCAAAATTTAGTTATTGAGTGAATAATATTAGTCCAGCAATCTGAGAGAAAAAGTGAGATGTGTACTTATTTTCTCTACTAGGTAAATGCTTTCAGAAAGACAGAATTAAGTTAGTTTATATGCTCCCGTAAAAGTTCCAGTATTTATTTATTTATTTATAACATTTATATGGTTGCCAATTCAACCAAAAGTATTCTGGGTGGCTTTCAGAAAATTGGATTGAAGAAATATATATATAATAAATGAAATGGAAATGGAAAGTTATTTTATGGCTAAACCTCAGACCTACAGCACTTGAAAATCTGAGATCTGTGCTTTGATTACAGCATATTGTATATGTTTGTAAATGCCTTAAATCTTTTCCACTTGGATTTTCATCTCCGCTTAATTTGGGGGTGGAGGATCAAGATAAACGTTTTAATCTGTGAATCTCTGAAGATACCTTTGTTTTATTACAATGGAACCCTTTCCTGAGTCAGAACTGATGATGAAAACAAAAGAAAACTACATTTTAAACCAAAATAATGGTTGGAAATGTAGCTCTGCAGTTTAAAATGTCATAATAGAATTAAATCAACCATTCTATTTAGAACTCATTCACATCAGGGGGGGTTGGACTAGATGATCTACACGGTCCCTTCCAGCTCTGTTAATCTACATTACCTGAAATGACCACCTACCATCTTCAGGACCTCCCGAAGTCATTATCTCATATGCAGACAATCAGGCATATAAAGACATGTTACACAATGGAAAATAACTGTCCATTCTGTCATTAAGACATGTTTGTTCTACCTCTTGGCCCACCAAACACAAATGTATTTGTGTCTGATGTTTATATTATCTCACATAATACATAATCTTACCAAGTTGTCTCTCCCAACGTTTTAACACTGTTTAATTCAATGCTATATCCCCATTTTAAAATTATTCTTTGAGTTGCCCTGACTTATAGCCAGCTAGCTAAGGACCAAACCAGATGTTAAAGTGACAGGCACATTGATTAGAAGTGACTCACGAGTAAATTAGTATGTAGGTAAGCAACAAAGGAGAATGGAAGGACATCATGGATGGTTTGGAGGGATCTTAAACCAAGCTCTGGTAAATGAGACTTTGGCAGTAGAAATGACTCTTGCTGGTGAAAACGGTATATGAATAAAACAATGACAAGTAAAAGCCTTGTGGTGCAAGAGTTTTTGCTTATCCATACTGGATTTTAATTCATCCCATCAGTCCCACATTGTAATAATTTGACCTGACCCACATACAAGCAATTTATCATCAAAACACCTAATTTGTTCTCAGTGAAACAAAAGCTCTAAAGCAAAATATTTATATATTTCTGTGTCCCTTATCTGCCTTCCTTTAATATGTTGATGTCAGAAAAATGCAAGTGGAATTGTTTGCTCAAAAAATCTTAACAGAAGGAGGTGAAGCTGATATGTCTGCTGACCTTGCTGAAACCGTACCAAGGACTTCATGCAAGTCTAAATTTGGAAGCGGTAAAAATCTGGCACATTATCCATTAATTACAGGATTCGTGGAATATGGTAAATTCTTAGTTTGATACCATATGAAAACAGAAACTGTTTGACTGCCTGTTAATAAATGTTTCTCTGTATGTTGCCTCTTGCTCAGGAATGGTTTATATATTTTTGGTGTCTGCAGACTGAAGAAGTCCTGAAGATTGATGGAGGGCCATGCTATTCAAACAGCAGGCGTTGCTGAGACAGAAGCTCCTTGTGCTAGGCAGCCTTGCTATTGGAAGCCTTCTCTATCTAGTTGCCAGAGTTGGGAGCTTGGATAGGTAAGTCATTAAATTAGCATGTCCCAGTGACATCAATAATTATAAATGGCTGTAGGTGCTTTCCCCACCTCCCCCCACCCAATCCAATTTCCTCTTAAGCTTTGAATATAATTGAATAGGTTTCTAGCTCTTTGTCTCGCTGCTAGCATTTAAAAAGACAATCTGCTGTAGTATTGATTTTCATTGTTAGTTTCTTCGGTATAAAGACAGGGGAAACTGAAGGAGCGTTAGCTTGCTGAATCCAGTGCCTTGGTCCATGTCCATTTATATTCTATGTGCACTGGCATTTGTGTTCAGAATGAATGTAAAGCGCCATTCAGTAAATATGTCACCACAGTAGTAGGTCAGCTTTTGTGTGCAATAGCAGGCTAACTTCAAGTTTCAATGAACAGTAGTATCTTGTTCATTTTCTTTTCTGATATTTATGGGTGAGCAATTAAGATGGTACGATCAGTGGTGGGATTCAAGTAATTTAACAACCAGTTCTCTACCCTAATGATTTCTTCCAACAACCAGTTTGCCAGACTGCTCAGAAAGTTAACAACCGGTTCTCCCGAAGTGGTGCAAACTGGCTGAATCCCACCACTGGGTACGATGGTAATTAAACTTGCGCACAAGCCTGCAAAGTTTGTTTGTCAGTCTTGGATCTTCTTGCACTAGAAAGATTGCTGAAGGATATAAAGCATATTTTAAACTCTGTAAAAAAAAAAAAGATGACTAAAATCTAATTAATTCCCCTTGAGATGGATATCTTGCTGGAAATGATTATTTTCAGGGCAATTGTGGGATATAAAACTAGGGCCAGTTCTGTTTATGATTCCTGTTAATGCCCAACATTGTTGGCTTTGAATTACAGGAAACAACTTACTTTCAATTTCATACAGAACACGGAACTAAGACTCAATTACCAAATCCTTTTTTCTGTTTTATGACAGTTAAGCTGCTCCAAGAAATGGCAGAATTAAAAGAAAGAAAGTCTATTTGATGAAAGATTTATGTATCAAAGTTGCTTTCTGAAATCCATTTGGAGGCAATTAGTATCCTAAAATGATAATTAAAATTATGTACAGGATTGTAAAACCTCCATTCAAAAACAGCATTCCAGGCTGAGATTGTATTTAGATGGTAAAGGAGCAAACATAAACATTGCATGTATTTGGTCAATTATAGGTGCGTTATTTCTTAGATCCAGTTGCATTAATGCCAAATTCATATGAGTTGTATAAAAATTCAAGTCACTGTCTGAAAAAACAAAACAAAATAAAGCCAAGTTGATTAACTATTTACACTTATTTAGTACATTTAGGACTTATCTTTCCTCATTATGGAATGCTAGTTAGCATATATAAGTTCCACATGGTTTCCCATTTGGACACTGGATACATGTAGAGCAGCTTAATTTTATCTTAGTCTTTATACCTTTGTCACCAAATCATATTGTGGAAACCAGCATATGAGCTCCATTACCCCACAATGTAAAGCTAGTTTGCCCTCCATAGTGCACCAAGGATAGGCAAGCAAGCGCTGAACAGAATGAACTAGCAATCTAGTTGTCAGAACTGCATTGTGTCCAGCAAGTGTAGACACTACACTAAATATATAACCCCATAACCCATGCAGTTTGCAAGCCATGTATAGCATTTATTAAACACAATGAATAAGACATGCCTGTATCGCCAACACTTTATGCATATTAGGACAACAGGCATACTGGTTAAGCTGGTTGTGTAGCCCCTTCCAATTAGTTTAATTTTGTCTCTTGTAACATCCAGTGCTTGTTCTAATAGATGAGAATATATGTAAGTTAGGGTTGAATTGTGGAGCTATTGGTATTCTTTAAGATTGATTGATTGCTTGCAAACATTTCATCGCCTGACCAGGTTACATCATCAGTGCTAGTGAGTGTAAGGTTTGCTCCCTGTTTATATTCAGTAGTATGCCCTGCCAGTGTTGGTGGGGCTGGGGTTTTCTCCTTGGTACTTCCTGGATTAAGATTTTTATTTTTGGCTTGATTGTTTGTCTAGCATTAATTCCTGCTTATCTGGATGTGAGTCTCTGGAGAAGTTGAGTTCTGGTCTATGGAGATTCTCAGTCATCCAAATCATACTTGTCCCAAAGTTGTTTTTCAAGAGGCAACTGGACTTCCTTATTTTTCTTTGAAGACGTTTTGCTTCTCACCCAAGAAGCTTCTTCAGCTTTTGAAGCTTCTTGGATAAGAGGCAAAACATCTTCAAAGAAAAACAAGCAAGTCCAGTTGCCTCTTGAAAAAGCACTTTTGGGATGAGTTCTGGTCCTTTTGTTTCCCTTTTAGCTTTTTATTGTGTCCAGTAGAAGTCCAGTAGCTCAGATTTGAACTATGGGGACCTTGATGCTTTGGTGCATCACTTTCATTAGCCAGGTAGGTAACATTGCTGATCATATTACCTAGTCAGCTAATGAAACATCTCCACTCAGAGAGCACCAAGGACTCCACAATGTTTGTTCTTTTGGTCAACCATCTTCTTTTTAAATGCACGTTTAAAAAAAAAAAAAAGCTGCTGCCCAGAGTCATAGAGATGTTCGGCAGCCTCAAATTTTTTTTAAAAAGCATGTATTTATTAGTTTACTTATCTAAGTAATACATAGCCACCCATCTTACAAAACAAATGACCCTGGATAGCTTACAATGTGAAAACAATCAATAAATACTAAAGTTCAGTATTATAATTGTTAACAAGTAAAACATCTAAAACTATAAAAAAAATCTGAGCTGAAGTAAAAGTAGATGAAGCCATGTTAACAACAGTAGAGGCACCTCACTAGCTCACCCATCCCCTGGGGTCCTCAGGACTGCTGACACAACAAATTTTTGCAGTGGTGAAATCCAATTTTTTTTACTACTGGTTCTGTGGGCGTGGCGGGCGTGGCGTGGCTTGGTGGGCATAGCAGGGGAAGGATACTGCAAAATCTCCATTCCCACCCCACTTTGGGGCCAGCCAGAAGTGGTATTTGCCGGTTCTCCGAACTACTCAAATTTTTTTTTTTTTTTAATTTGATTTATATGCCGCCCTTCTCCGGAGACTCAGGGCGGCTTACAATGCGTTAAGCAATAGCCTTCATTCTTTTGTATATTTTATACAAAGTCAGCTTATTGCCCCCACAAACTGGGTCCTCATTTCACCTACCTTAGAAAGGATGGAAGACTGAGTCAACCTTGAGCCTTGGAGAGATTCGAACCAGCAGAAATTGCAGGCAGCTGTGTTAATTACAGGGTGCACTAAACCCCTGTACTATCAGGGGTTCTCCAGAACCTGTCAGAACCTGCTGGATTTCACCCCTGGACCTTTGCTAGCTGAGAATAGATGAGCCCAACATCATCTTAGGGGAGGGAAGAAAATTTCACAATGAGGGCACCACTGTAGAGTAGAACTGCTATGTACTGTTTGTTAAATGTACATAGTTCCCTAGACAATGAAACCCATAACATAACTTCCGACTAGATCTGGTAGGGCAAGCAGATGAAACCAGGGAGTGGCAGTCCCTCAAATAGGACATTTTTAAAAAATAAAATATTGGTTATTGTATTGTTCCAGAAAAGACATGCACCTTGATATGCAAAATTTAAACCTCTCCTTTTCATAATGGTTCTTGCCAAAGACTTGCACCATTAGCTGCTGTTTGTCCCCAAATGTACTACACATGGAAAACATAGGGGTTTTTTTTTTTTAATGTGAATTACCTTGATCTATTAATTCGGTTGCACATATTTGTGCATGTAAAAAATCATGTGGAAATGTTCATCTGTGTTTTGCCTCGGCAACAACATTACATTCCCTTTTAGTTTCTGGGGCATCTGTATTTTTCCTCCATTTAGAATAAAACAGATTTTTAAAAAATAAAATAAAAGATCTTACAGTATATGAGCCTACTAAGCAGGAAAAAGTGAGAGGGAGATTGGGAGAGACTGAAATATTTTGAACAATTGAGAACACAATGTTTTTCAGGTAAGTTGTCAGCTTTCTAATATAATTATGACTTTGGTCTGTTTGTTTGCTGTTTATGATCTTTATTTTTCAACAGTTAATGAAAATAAACTAAATACGCAGCTAGGTAACACGAATGATTTGATTGCTTATTTGTTCCCTATGACTGTCATTAAGTGTTGTACCTTATGATTCTTGACAAATGTATCTTTTCTTTTATGGACACTGAAAGCGTATGCACCAAGACAAATTCCTTGTATGTCCAATCACACTTGGCCAATAAAGAATTCTATTCTATTCTATATTACATTGCACTTCAATGAGGGGTATTGTGTTTTCTCACATTCACTCGTTTGTAAGAATCATTGCCTAATTTCATTCAAAAAAAGAAAGGATGTGCCTAGCGTAGCTTGCTTCCTACCATCATCTACCATCAAAATCCTACATTGGGAAGATATGCAAAATGGCTCCGAGCAATTATGTAGTTACATAGAGTGGACAGAAATTCCTTCTTGTCTCTTGCTGGAACTTGGCCTATGACCTCAGGCATGAAATTTAATTAACCTTTCTCCCAATCTAGGCTTGCCTAGCTACAAATGTTATTAATGGTCATAAAATTATCCAGACACAGTACTTGACTCTTGAACTTCTGCAGTGGTGACTTCCAGCAGATCCATATATAATATGCTAATGGGAAAAAGGAATGATTTTATTTTTCTCTCTCATTGTGCATGATGGATATGTAGTCATCAGTGAATTCTATCCTGATGATCCAAAAATATGGACATCTTATCTCTTGTAATATCTCTTTCACCCATTGAAATAGATCTTGGGCACATTAATGTCATACCTTCTGTATCCCACCTGCTGGATCTATACAACTCACTGCTTGTATTGTGGCATGAGCACTAATCAATCAACAGAAAGCAGCGGTTACAGAAGAGCTAAGAACTGTGTTAGAGGATTAGGTATAAAGAAATTAAGTGAGGAAATGAAGCCAAAGAATAACAAATCACACTTTCCTTCTTATTTAAGTCTCCCTCGGATGTAAATCTCTCTCCTTTGTAAGGCCCATATTTGATAATTCTCCCCTGCTGAGGTTGCTCTACATCAGATGGACAGTGAGAGCCCAGATTTCTCAGTAGTTCTTAGTACCTCTTCCTACTACCAATGAGGGGTGGCATGGTTTGCTGCTATTTTGAGGCCAGAATATACTGATTAAAAACTGTAGAAAAATTTCCAAATCGACTTAACATGGTTTTAGAAAAACAAAGAAAACCCCAAAGCTTCTCCCCAGAACCAGGGGAAAGAAGCAGACAAAAAAGAAAATTCTGTTCCTGGTATTGCATGAACAAGCTCCATCCAATTTCTATTATCATCAATTTATCACCCTGCAGTCCTCAAGTAACCAGACTCTTGAATACTCCAGCTCTAAATTACAGCACTATGGTGTGTTGCATAGAATAGCCAATTCCTTTCTTGACATGCTTGCCATATATTGAGCTGTTTTTCATGAAGCTGCATCACTCATCCATGTGTTTTCATTGTTTTATTTCTGGCCAAAATTGACATTTCATTTTCCCTTAAAAAAACTGAGGTCCTCAGGTAGGATTCTGATGCACTACACTAGAATAACGCAGGTACTCCAAGATCTGTAGTTCTTTAGCCCCTTTTCCTTCCCCTAGCACCAGTGCATGACAAGTGAGAATTTCACAGAAAGTGTATTGGAAGACAAAATACAATTAGGAAAATATACAAGCGGCAAGAATCAGAAATAGTTCTCTATTTGAATAGATATGCTTACCGTGACTATAATGCCAGAATCTACAGCAAGCCACAATAATGTCAGGAGGCAAAACTGCCTTTATGTAGTCATGAGAAGTTGCAGAATTTGTGCTATGACATTATGACACATACTTCATTACTTATCGGTATCTCTTTTGCTCCTCCTTAGATGCCTTAGTCGGCTATGAGATCTATGGTCCCCAGATAATTCCATTTTTAAGCTAAATTTTTAAAATGTTTCCCAAATAAACTCTGTACCTTGAAAATACCTTAATTATATGATGTTGGTATTGAATTTAGAATCTGCTGCCTTGAAAAGGAAGGCTTTTTCTAAACGTAGATTTGGAGTAGAAAATTCTCATTAACAGACTGAGGAAAGAAGCCATATTTTTCATTTTCTTTAAGTCTTGATCCACCAAGTAATCCCTGAAAGGTTATGGAGTTTTTTGTAAAATGGAGGATATGCTATTTAGAAGCAGGAGTGAGGCAAAATCATCAGACATGTACACAATATTAGCTATTACTTAGCGTGTTTGGACCCACTCACCCCCAGTTCCAAGGTAAAAAAAAAAAAGTATCATGGGTAAATTCTGATCATTTTGTATAATATATGTTTTAGATTTATCTGTTAATATTTAAAGCATGGGTGCCCAACCTTAGCAACTTTAAGACTTGTGGACTTCAACTCTGATGCTGGCTGGGGAATTCTGAAAGTTGAAGTCCAAACATCTTCAAGTTGCCAAGTTTGGGCACCCTTGCTTTAAACAATATGAATTCAGTGCATGTGATCAACATAGTGCATGTGAAATACACATGTAGCATACAGAGTGTGACGTAGTTCATCCCTGCATTGGGGTGGGTTCTACTTATCTTGACTACCGGTTCGCAACGGGGCATGCGTATATGACGTCCGGGCGGTGGATGAAGCTTACCCCCAGTTTTACTACCGGTTGTATAGAACCGGGACTGGGACATGCTCTTCTTACAGCACATAATATGAATCAATGTAACAGTATCAAATTTTTTGTATTTGATTAGATCTTAACTGATGAGCAAGAAAAAGTTAACTTTTTAATCTTTTTAATGTTATGTGTTATGTGTGTGTGTGTTTCCTGGTTAACAAGCTCATTAGCTTCTTTTTTTAAAAAATTCTAATTCAGTTTTATCCTAAATATGATGGTGGGGAAAAGAATATATTCTTGGGTAGAAAACAAAAATAATTTTCCAAGGCAAAAGAACATTATGGTTCTAGAAAATAAAATGTTTTTCTCCCAGGATATTAAGTTGTGAAAAACTTGTGACTTGGAGTAATGTTAGTTCTCAAGTTATCAACATTTGTTTTAGGATCAGACTACACAATACACTTTATAGTACCAAATTTAAAAAACAGAGTGTGTAAGACATTATACACTTCTTCTAAATGGATGCATTTCCAGGCAATACCACTACCCAGAATGAAACATAAAGAGGGATAATTAACATTTTTTCTTTGAAAATGCCTTCATCCCAAATAGCAAAAATACTTAATATAAGGAATAGGATAGTAGGTACAGCTTCAAGGCTGGTATTTACAATAAGAAAAAGCACAAGGAGTTAAAGTGAAATCTATTTTATATCTGCACTGCAGTTTGATCTGGATTGCAGTTTCTTTTTATTCATCGTCTCAATATATTGTTTGCACATAATTTAAAACACATATATAGATTGGTTTTAGCTAATATTTGTTGGACAGCAGTTGATTTTGAAGCAGTTCTTCAAGAATAAGTAAAAATAATTATCCCAGCTAAGAGCTGTTTGCTTCTTTAAAAAATATGCTTATAATATACACTGATATGTAACAATGCAGATACATATAGTACAGTTTCACCACAGTGCTGTATTTAATACACAGAAATAAATATAGCAAAGTATGAGATGGAGATTTAATTTCATGAGGACATGCTTTGCAAGTATATGCACAATATACATGCATTTACAAATACATATTTTCTCCTCTGATTTTACCATGTTGCAGTAATAAAAATCTCAAATGTTACATTAATATTCAACTTCTGTAGACCAGAAAAGATACCATTTCATTCACTTCGAGACATACAATAAGTACATAGCAAATGCTAATGTAGGAATAGTCAAGCAATTTATTTTGCCTGGATTTTTAAATTTGATAGGCTTAGATCCAGATTCAGAAAGTAGGCTTGAGTTGTTCCAAATTACATAAGAGGATATCCAAGGCAAGCTTGCAGAACTCAGTGTGTGCACACCTGTCTTATAAATTACAGGGGGAGAGGGAGAGGAGGGAGAGGGGGGGAGAGAATGAATATAGATAGATATAGATATAACACTGCCAACATTTCAGAATGTTGTTAGCATACATGAGTGCCAAAAACATGCCCATCATCCAAAATATAACTGAAAACAAAAAGTGTTTCAATGTGGAACTTTCTGAGAATAGAACAAATACATAATTTAGTGGGTTTTTTGCTAGTTTATAAGTGAGCAAACAAATTGTATATTGTCGATTCAATTCCTGCCATGAAAACAGACATCAATATCTTGCCTTATGAATAGGACTATGTGAATCATCCCAAAATTCATTATAAATTAATTATTTATTGTTAATACCATTAATTATTATTGCTATCCTAAATCTCTCCACTGCAGGATAAAGGTCTCTTTGTTGTAGGTGATGAACCATAATCTGCAAGGCTGATCTGGTGTGGATTGATAGATAAATGAATGAGCACACATGCATAGACACACACATACACACATAGCACAATCTCCACTCTAACTTTAATGCTATGTGATCCATTCCCATTTATATGGCATTAACTTTAGTGATAGAGCTTCTGATTAGACATGTATAAAATTTCAGTGTTACTAATGCAAACTACTTTTTTCTCCTTTTCTCCTCTCCTTTTCTCCTCTCCCCCCCCCCATTGTAGACTGCAACCCATTTGCCCTATTGAAGGCCGATTTGGACTCCATGGGCAAGATGAAATCCCACTCAGAGCTCTACAGTTTAAGCGTGGATTGTTGCATGAATTCCGAAAGGGTAATGCCAGCAAAGAACAAATTCGACTTCACAGTTTGGTCCAGCAAATCCCCAAGGCCATAATAATTGGAGTGAGGAAAGGAGGAACTCGAGCACTACTAGAAATGCTCAATCTTCATCCAGCAGTGGTCAAAGCCTCTCAAGAAATACACTTCTTTGACAATGATGAGAACTATGCCAAGGGCATTGAGTGGTATAGGAAAAAAATGCCATTTTCATATCCTCATCAAATAACCATTGAGAAAAGCCCTGCATACTTTATCACAGAGGAGGTCCCTGAAAGGATTTATAAAATGAACTCATCCATCAAATTACTGATTATTGTCAGGGAACCCACAACAAGAGCTATTTCTGATTACACTCAGGTGCTGGAGGGAAAGGAAAGGAAGAATAAAACCTACTACAAATTTGAAAAGTTGGCCATTGATCCCAACACCTGTGAGGTGAACACTAAATACAAGGCAGTAAGAACCAGCATCTACACCAAGCATCTGGAGAGATGGTTAAAATACTTTCCCATAGAGCAGTTTCATATTGTGGATGGCGATCGTCTCATTACAGAACCGCTGCCAGAACTCCAGCTGGTAGAAAAGTTCTTAAATCTTCCTCCAAGGATAAGTCAATATAATTTGTATTTCAATGCCACCAGAGGGTTTTACTGCTTGCGATTTAACATTGTCTTTAACAAGTGCCTGGCGGGAAGCAAAGGACGCATTCATCCAGAGGTAGATGCCTCTGTCATTACCAAATTGCGCAAATTCTTTCACCCTTTTAATCAGAAATTTTACCAGATCACAGGGAGGACATTTAACTGGCCCTAAGATAAACTTCCTACAACACTGTGTGTTGCACCTGGAGATATGCAACCATATCTCTATTAGAGTATATTAAAAAAAATATATGCACTTTTCATACTCTCAGTTATCAAAGTAATCTTTTTTTTTCATGCGTACTTGTACATATGCAGTGTGTGACCAAATATAAGATGGGATCAATTTTTCTACAGAACAGTGCATAACGTCAAATTTAAACTCTCTGCATAATTGCATCATTTTATGCTGTACAATTAAATGAGAAAATGTCATTTAAAGAAATTAGCTACTCGGTTCAAAGGGTCAGCACTCTTATTTGCTCCATAAAATTTAATATTAAAGGTATCTCGAGAAAGGCAGAATATTGTTTTAAAATTCATTGCAATTCTAATTCACTGCAGTTAGAATTCATTTCTGAGAAATCTGCAATGCAATATTGTATTTCTAAATATTGTTTAGAAATATTATATTTCTATTATAACATATCTCTAAAAGAATATTGGCCCTTTAAAGAGAATACATTTATGCTTCAGGCTTATAATGGCTTATCACTGCTCCCTAGGAAACCTCTATTTTGGTAACAAGAAGGGACTAATCACATTTTTATGAATAATTCTCACTACTTCCATGAATTGGGGTGGGGCAATTATGCCAGTTAAATGGATGAAAAGCCAATATAAGTTTGCTGTGTGATTATACCCTATATGATGCTAAGTTCTTTTGAAAAATCTTTTCCTAGTGTTGAAAAGAAACTTTCTCATCCAGTCAACATAGTTTCAAATTTCCTGTGGTGAGTTTGCACTATTGTTTTTAATTGTATGGATCATCTTGGCACTTAGAGCATGTCAATCATGTGTCAAAACGGAAGTCTTTTTTCTCCCTTCTATGCTTGTATGTTGACAAAAATTTGATGTACATATTGTATATTGTTTGTAAATACTGGTTTCACACTAAGTAATTCTATTTTGTAAACTAAATATGGCTATTTAATTTATTGTGAAAATTAAATTTATTGTGGTATTTAAAATGGAATGGATTAAAATTGCTATATGTGCAATTTGCTTTTTGTTTTTTTTCAGTGGATGTTTGATGATCCTATGATAGCTCATTATCTCAAATAGCAAGCTTTTCATTGCAAACAATTCACAAGTTCAGCTGGGAGTCAAGATCTGAGTAATTTGATTGAGTAATATTCAAAGATATGCAAATTCACCATTAAATTGGTAATCCATAATGACTGCATTGTTGTCAGGTGTATTTTTAGCTGTTTCTGTATAAAGAAGAATGTGTACTATGCAAAAACATCAAGCAAATATCCTTAGTTCTACAACTCTAAGAGAATTACAAATGGAAGGCTACCAAAAATATTTTTAAAATGTTATTATTCCGATGATAGGATGATGGTGCTTATTTGGACCTTTTCTGCTTCCATGAATAATATCCATAGGTGTAAATGGAGGCTTAAGGTTAAGGCAATTTATTCTAACAATTTTAAAAACTGGATTTTCATGAGAGAACTGCCTAGGATTAATTGGGAAACTCATTGTACTTATTGAAGCTCAAGGTTTCACCATCAAATCACATTCATTCCAATTCTTCAAGGTTTTTCATTGATTTCACTAGAAAACTAGGTTAAAATAGACTTACAATGAAGTAAAGATTAGCGAAATCACTAGGATATGGGGTCTGTGATTTTAAAAAAAGGCTCAATTGGGGTTTTTTTGTTTCTATGGGAATGAAGAAAGAGAAGAATTGGATGCACTTTAAAGGAATGGAAATGTCACTGGGTAATGGCTGCAAAGAAATAGGAATCCCATTTGGAAAAAATCCAGCCTTTTGCATTTGTGTGTATGCCTCACAAGTACATAAACTGTGTAAAAATTATATCCAAAAGTAATGTGTAACTATTGCATAGAAGTGGAAAATAACACTTCAAGAGTACTTCAGCTGTTAGGTTTTCTGTAGATTATCATTACTCTATTCATAACATTAAAAAAGCAAAAAATGTAAAATCAAATCAAGTTTACTTTAACTGATTTGTAAAGTGTAAGGTATTTCAAGAGAAAGAAATAGATAATTTTCTACTTGTATATATAACTGATCTCTAGGTAGTGAGAAACTAATGGAAGTTATTCTTTCAACCTAAAATTAGATGTAAAGTACATGTTAAAATACATTTTAATTCAAATTAATCAACTCAGTTAATGAACTGAATAATCATCTCAAGTTAATTCACAGAGAATCACAGGCAACTAAGGATTGTTAAAAGAGAACTGCCAGAGGAGCTGATGTGATTCCAATCTTCAAGAGGAGGAAAAAAGTAGATCTAGGAAACCATGGACAAATCAGTTTAACATCAATATCTTGGAAAATCCTGCAAAAGAAAATCAAGCAGCAGATTTGTGGGCATCTAAGAAATGACCAGAACCAATATGAATGTGTTAAAAACAGACCACATCAGGCAAACCTTATTGCCTTCTTTGATAAAGTGACTAAATTAGTGGATCAGAGAAATGCTGTGAATATAGTTTACTTGGACTTCAGCACAGCATTTGATAAAGTAGACTATAGCCTACTTCGTGGTGAGTTGGAACAACGTGGGATAGAAAGTTCCACCATCAGATTGATATTCAGTTGGCCAACTACATTCAGTGTGCAGTCCTTAATGGAACTACATCTACTGGAAGGAATGTGCAGTGGGGTAGCTCAAGGTTCTAAGTCCAAGTACTCTTCAAAATCTTCATAAATGATTTAGATGAGGGGATAGATGGGGCACTCATCAGATTTGCAGACAACACCAAACAGAGGGGAATTGTCAATACTTTGGAAGATTAGACTCATGATACAGAAGGATTTTGACAGATTTGAGCATTGGGCTCTTTTTTACAAGTTCACTGATGAGAAAAGCAAGATGTTAGACAGGAAAAACCAAATGCACAGGTACAGGATAAGTAGTACCTGGCTCAAAGCAATATCTCTGAGAAGGATCTAGGGGTTCTAGTGCAGGGGTCTCCAACCTTGGATACTTTAAGACTTGTGGACTTCAATTCTGGGAGTTGAAGTCCACAAGTCTTAAAGTTGCCAAAGTTGGAGATTCCTGTTCTAGTGGACTACCACTTAAGTATAAGCCAGCCATGTGCTGCAGCTGCAAAAAAAGAAAAGCCAATGCAGTCCTACGCTGCATCAACAGAAGGATAGAATCAAGATCACAAGAGACAATATCACTCTATACTCACAAGTGAGGTGACACTTGGAATATTCCATCCAGTTCTGTTTGCCACGATACAAAAAAGGATGGTGAGACAGTGCAAAGAAGAACAAGGAGCCTGTAGTACAGTGGACTAAAGCACTGTTATTAACATCTGCTGCTTGCAATTACTGCAAGTTCAAATCTCACCAGGCTCAAGGTTGACTCAGCCTTCCATCCTTTCAAAGATAGGTGAAATGAGGACCCAGATTGTGGGGGCAATAAGCTGACTTTGTATAAATATACAAAAGTATGAAGGCTATTGCTTAACGCATTGTAAGCCGCCCTGAGTCTCCGGAGAAGGGCGGCATATAAATTAAAGCAAAAAAAAAATGTGATAAGGAGTCTGGAGGCTAAATCATGTGATGAATGGTTAAGGGAACTTGACATGTCTAATGAAGAGAAGAATTAAGAGCGACACGATAGCTGTCTTCAAGTACTGAAGAGGCTATCATAGGTAGGAGGAGGATTGATTTGTTCTAGGGCAGGACAAGAAGTAATGGGTGGAAACTTATTAAAGAGAGATCCAATCTGGAACTAAAGAGGAATTTCCTGACAGTAAGAGCCAGTGGTGGGTTTCTAACGATTTGCCCTGGTTCGGGCAAACCAGTAGCAGTGGAGGCGGGAAGCTCCACCCACCCACCCGGACATCATCACGGATGCTCTGCGCATGTTTCCAGTTCCAAACCGATAGCGAAGGTAAGTGAAAACCACTATTGGTAAGAACAATCAATGGAACAGCTTGCCTCCATTGCTGGAAGTGGGTGTTCCATCGCTGGAGGTCTTCAAGAAAAGATTGGACAGCCATTTGTCCAAGATGCAATAAGGTCTCCTGCCTTGGGCAAAGGGGTGGACTACATGATCTCCAAGGTCCCTTCCACCCTTAGGATTCTATGATTTAAGTTGTTTGCTGTTCTCTAATTAGATTTAAATTTTTATAATTTCATACGATGTCGGTAGGTTTTTAGTCTTGATATGTGTTTAGTCTTGATATGTGTTTATGTCTACTAAAGGAAATCCTTGGTTAACATCTGCTTCATTCAGCAACCATTCAAACTTATGACCGTACTGAAAATGTAAATTTATGACCATTTCTTGGTCTTACTGCCATTGCAGCACCTCCATAGTCATGTGACCACAATGTGGATGCTTTCAACTGGTGCCCATCTACAAGGATCCCATGACCATCATTTGAGAACTTCATAGCTGGCTTCTGACAAGCAAAATCAGTGGGGAAGCCAGCAAAAATTGCAAGTCATGGTGATGTGACATTGCATTTAATGACCAGGGTGGTTCACTGAATGATTAATTGACTTTATAAGACAGATGCGGCCATGTGATGTGTCACTTAATGACTGCATCACTTAGCAACAAAGTTGACAGTCCCAATTTTTTTTTTTTTTTTTTTTGCTTTAATTTATATGCACCCTTCTCCGGAGACTCAGGGCGGTTTACAATGCGTTAAGCAATAGTCTTCATACTTTTATATATTTATACAAAGTCAGCTTATTGCCCCCACAATCTGGGTCCTCATTTCACCTACCTTTGAAAGGATGGAAGGCTGAGTCAACCTTGAGCCTTGGTGAGATTTGAACTTGCAGTAATTGCAAGCAGCAGATGTTAATAACAGTGCTTTAGTCCACTGTACTATAGGCTCTATTGCACTTGTTAAGCAAGGACTACCTGTATTTTGTAAAAAATAAGAAAAAAAAGAGATAAGTAGAAAATAGTTTTATGCGTACAAAGAGAGATATTTCAATAGATATAAAGTTCCTTTTAGCATTCCTGCTTTCTACCTCAGCAATTATTTCCTCCCCAAAAAGAAGGCGATTGATGCTTATGAAAGAAAACAGATTGGTTTTTCTTGTTGTACACAATAAATTTACCAGCACTAAATATAAATAGGTCCAGAAATCAATTGCAGGTGGTCTGCAATTTACCAACAATATATTTTGTGATAATTTTGTGAGGAGCCTTGGTAGTACAGTGGTTTAATGCACCCTGTTATTAACACAGCTGCCTGCAATTTTTGCAGGTTCAAATCTTACCAGGCTCAAGGTTGACTCAGCCTTCCATCCTTTCTAAGGTAGGTTAAATGAGGACCCAGATTGTGGGGGCAATAAGCTGACTTTGTATAAATATACAAAAAGAATGAAGGCTATTGCTTAGCACATTGTAAGCCGCCCTGAGTCTCTGGAGAAGGGCGGCATATAAATCAAATTAAAAAAAAAAAAAAGTTACAACGGCACTGAAAAAAGTGACTCATGACTGCTTTTCACACTTACAACAGTTGCAGCATCCCCTTGATCACGTGATCAAAATTCAGATGTTTGGCAACTGACTCATATTTATGATAATTGCAATGTCCTGGGGTCATGCGATCACCTTTTGCAAACTTCTGACCAGCAAAATCAATGGGGAGGCCAGATTCTCTTAACAACTGTGTTACTACCTTAACAGCTGCAGTGATTCACTTAACAACTGTGGCAAGGAAGGTCATAAAATGGGTCAAAACTCACTTAACAAATGTCTCACTTAGCAGCAGAAATGTTCAGCTCAATTGTGGTCGTAAGTCAAGGACTACTTGTATATTAATTATATTTCATTAATTATATTTAATTACATTAATTATATTACATTATATTGTATTATAATAAATTATATATTTTGTATTACAATTCACACATACAAACCCATGCAATTAAAAGTTGCTAGGTCAATTAAAATAGAACAATGTAACTAAACAGCTGATTCTTTAGAAAGTATAGATAAACCTTTCTTAATGAGCAGATGCAATTATGACTTGCATCTTTTTTGCTGTAACCTCACCTTTTTGGTCCCCCCCCCACCCCCCCCCCCAAAAAAGACACCCATAGGAATGCATTGACTTGCTTAATGACACCCACAATTCATTTTATGACTATGTCATTCACTTAACAACCACCACAAAAAAGATCGTAAAATCAGGTCGGTCACATTGATGCTTTAATTTGCAACTATCATATCTTAATGGAAAGTCCAGGCTGCCATACTGTCAAGGACTGTCTATATACAAATGATTCTGTAGAAGGAGGGTTGCAGGAATTCATCTAACATGAATATATTTGCCACCTGTTATAGGTGTAAAAACCACTCCATGTAAGACTACCTGAACACAAATGTTTGAATCAGGACACATGATCAATAGGTTTATATCTAGGGTTTTTTTTTCCAGCATCCTGAGATCATGCCATCTATAATACTGTAGATGCACAAGTTTTCTGAATGAATATTGAATGAAAAAGCATAGGGCATAATCACATAGTGTCTTTTGCTTGTTATTCCTGTAAATCTTTTTTATATGTGTGCCCTCTTGTGGTCATATTTATCTTTAATCTTCTTGACAGGAATCTAACGAGTAGGCTTTTTCAAGCAATAAGGCCATAATTATAAGAAAAGTTCTTGAAAAAATGTTTCTGCAGTCTCACTTGTGCACAAATCAGTGAAAATCAAGACAACTAATTCTAGTTTCTGATCTGAAAACTATCATCAGGATTAAAGTACTGGAAGAAAACTCAGTAATAACTGCATTTCTATTGATCTCCTTAAAATTCCAGATGATAATATTTTATTTTATTAATATTTCTCATTAAAACTTAGTATTCATAAGGGAGAGTAGTCATGGTTTGGAGAGGATTGTACGTAAAAAAATGAGCACGAACGACTTGAGCTATTAACATTTAAATCTTAAGAATAATGTGAATTATTTATTTTGGCTAATTCAGTAATTT